AAAAAAAAAAAATTCCCTAATATGGGAAAGGAAATAGCCACCCAAGTCCAGGAAGTGCAGAGAGTCTCAGGCAGGATAAACCCAAGGAGAAACACGCCAACACACACATTAATCAAATTGACAAAAATTAAAGACACAGAAGAATTATTAAAAGCAACAAGGGGAGAGATATGGGAACATACGTATATGTATAACTGATTCACTTTGTTATAAAGCAGAGACTAACACACCATTGTAAAGCAACTGTACCCCAATAAAGATGTTTAAAAAGAAAAAAAAAAGCAACAAGGGAAAAATAACATATAAGGGAACTCCCATAAGGTTAACAGCTGATTCTCAGCAGAAACTCTACAAGCCAGAAGGGAGTGGCATGATATATTTAAAGTGATGAAAGGTAAGAACCTACAACCAAGATTACTCTACCCAGCAAGGATCTCATTCAGATTCAATGGAGACATCAAAAGCTTTATAGACAAGCAAAAACTAAGAGAATTCAGCACCACCAAACCAGATCTACAACAGATGCTAAAGGAACTTCTCTAAGTGGGAAACAAAAGAGAAGAAAAGGACCTACAAAGACAAACCCAAAACAATTAAGAAAATGGTAACAGGAACATACATATCAATACTTACCTTAAATGTGAATGGATTAAAAGTTCCAACCAAAAGACACAGGCTCACTGAATGGATACTTAAAAACAAGACACATATATACGTTGTCTACAAGAGACCCACTTTAGATCTAGGGACACATACAGACAGAAAGTGAGGGGACGGAAAAAGATATTCCATGCAAATGGAAATCAAAAGAAAGCTGGAATAGCAATACTCAGATAAAATCGACTTTAAAATAAAGAATCTTACAAGAGACAAGGAAGGGCACTATAAAATGATAAAGGGATCAATCCAAGAAGTTATAACAATTCTAAATATACATGCACCCAACACAGGAGCATAACAATACATAAGGAAAATGCTAACAGCTATAAAAGAGGAAATCGACAGTAACACAGTAATAGTGGGGGACTTTAACACCTCACTTACACCAGTGGACAGATCATCCAGACAGAAAATTAATAAGGAAACAAAAGTTTTAAATGACACAATAGACCAGATAGATTTAATTGATATTTATAGGACATTCTATCTGAAAACAGCAGATTACACTTTCTTCTCAAGTGCCCAAGAACATTAATGATAGATCACATCTTGGATCACAAATCAAGCCTCGGTAAATTTAAGAAAATTGAAATCATACCCAAGCATCTTTTCTGACCACAATGCTATGAGATTAGAAATAAATTACAGGGGAAAAAAAGTAAAAAATACAACATATGGAGGCTAAACAATACCTTACTAAGTAACCAAGAGATCACTGACGAAATCAAAGAAGAAATAAAAAAATACCTAGAGACAAACGACAACAAAAACATGATGATCCAAAACCTATGGGATAGATCTGGTTTGGTGGTGCTGAATTTCTCTTTCTTTTAGAAAGAGAAATTCATAGCAATACAATCCTACCTCAAGAAACAAGAAATATCTCAAATAAACAATCTAACCTTACACCTAAATGAACTAGAGAAGAACAAACAAAACCCAAAGTTAGTAGAAGGAAAGAAACCATAAAGATGAGAGCAGAAATAAATGAAAAAGAAATGAAGGAAACAATAGCAAAGATCAACTAAAACCTGGTCCTTTGAGAAAATAAACAAAACTGATAAACCTTTAGCCAGACTCATCAAGAAAAAGAGGGAGAGGATTCAAACCAATAATATTAAAATGAAAAAGGCGAAGTTGCAACAGACACCTCAGAAATACAAAACATCATAAGAGACTACTACAAGCAACTCTATGCCAGTAAAATGGACAACATGGAAGAAATGGACAGATTCTTACAAAGGTAGAAACTTCCAAGACAAAACCAGGAAGAAATAGAAAATATGAACAGACCAATCACATGTAATGAAATTGAAACAGTGATGAAAAATCTTCCAACAAACAAAAGTCCAAGACCAGATGGCTTCACAGGTGAATTCTATCAAACGTTTATAGAGAAGAGCTAACACCCATCCTTCTCAAACTCTTCCAGAAAATTGCAGAGGAAGGAACACTCCCAAATTCATTCTATGAGGTCACCATCACCCTGATACCAAAACCAGACAAAGATACTACAAAAAAAGAAAACTACAGACCAATATCACTGATGAATATAGATGCAAAAATCCTCAACAAAATACTAGCAAACAGTATCCAACAACACTTTAAAGGATCAAACACCATGACCAAGTGGGATTTATCCCAGGGATGCAAGGATTCTTCAATATATGCAAATCAATCAATGTGATATACCATATTAAAAAACCGAAGAATAAAAACCATATGATCATCTCAACAGATGCAGAAAAAGCTTCTGACAAAATTCAACACCCATTTATGATAAAAAAAACTCTCCAGAAAGTGGGCAGCATAATAAAGGCCACATATGACAAACCCACAGCAAACAGCATTCTCAATGGTGAAAAAATGAAACCATTTCCTCTAAGATCAGGAACAAGACAAGGATGTCCACTCTCACCACTATTATTCAACATAGTTTTGGAAGTCCTAGCCACAGCAGAGAAGAAAAAGAAATAACAGGAATACAAATTGGAAAAGATGAAGCAAAACTGTCACTGTCTGCAGATGATATGATACTATATATAGAGAATCCTAAAGATGCCACCAGAAAACTTCTAGAGCTAATCAATGAATTTGGTAAAGTTGCAGGATACAAAATTAATGCACAGAAATTTCTTGCATTCCTATACACTAACAATGAAAGATCAGAAAGAGAAATTAAGGAAACAATCCCATTCACCACTGCAACAGAAAGAATAAAATACCTAGGAATAAACCAAGGAGGTAAAAGACCTGTACTCAGAAAACTATAAGACACTGATGAAAGAAATCAAAGATAACACAGATAGATGGAGAGATATACCATGTTCTTGGATTGGAAGAATGAATACTGTGAAAATGACTATACTACCTAAAGCAATCTACAGATTGAATGCAATCCCTATCAAATTACCAATGGCATTTTTTTACAGAACTAGGACAAAAAAATCTTAAAATCTGTAAGGAGACACAAAAGACCCTGAATAGCCAAAGCAATCCTGAAGGAAAAAAACAGAGCTGGAGGAATCAGACTCGCTGACTTCAGACTATACTACAAAGCTACAGTAATCAAGACAATATGGTACTGGCACAAAAAAAGAAATACAGATCAATGGAACAGGATAGAAAGCCCAGAAATAAACCCATGCACCTATGGCCAACTAATCTATGACAAAGGAGGCAAGGATATACAATGGAGAAAAGACAGACTCTTCAATAAGTGGTGCTGGGAAAACTGGACAGCTATATGTCAAATAATGAAATTAGAACACTCCCTAACACCATATACAAAAATAAACTCAAAATGGATCAAAGACCTAAATGTAAGACTGGCCACTATAAAACTCTTAGAGAGGAAAACATAGGAAGAACACTCTTTGACATAAACCACAGCAAGACCTTTCTTGACCCACCTCTTAGAGTAATGGAAATAAAAACAAAAATAAACAAATGGGACCTAATGAAACTTAAAAGCTTTTGTAGAGCAAAGGAAACCATAAACAAGATAAAAAGACAACCATCAGAATGGTAGAAAATATTTACAAACAAATCAATGGACAAAGGATTAATCTCCAAAATATAGAAAAAGCTCATACAGCTCAATATTAAGAAAACAAACAACCAATCAAAAAATGGACAGAAGACCTAAATAGACGTTTCTCCAAAGAAGATACACAGATGGCCAAGAGGCACATGAAAAGCTGCTCAGCATCATTAATTATCAGAGAAATGTGAATCAAAACTACAATGAGGTATCATCTCACACCAGTTAGAATGGGCATCATCAGAACATCTACAAATAACAAATGCTGGAAAGGGTGTGGAGAAAAGGGAACCCTCTGGCACTGTTGGTGGGAATGTAAATTGATACAGCCACTATGGAGAACAGCATGGAGGTTCCTTAAAAAACTAAAAACAGAATTAACATATGACCCAGCAATCCCACTACTGGGCACATACCCTGAGAAAACTATAATTCAAAAAGAGTCATGTACCACAATGTTCACTGCAGCACTATTTACAATAGCCAGGAGAAGGAAGCAACCTAAATGCTCATTAACAGATGAATGGATAAAGAAGATGTGGCACATATATACAATGGAGTATTACTCAGCCATGAAAAGGAACGAAACTGGGTCATTTGTAGAGACGTGGATGGACCTGGAGACTGTCATACAGAGTGAAATAAGTCAGAAAGAGAAAAACAAATATTGTATATTAACGCATATATGTGGAATCTAGAAAAATGGTACAGATGAACTGGTTTGCAAGGCAGAAATAGAGACACAGATGTGGAGAACAAACGTATGGACACCAACGGGGGAAAGCAGGGGGCGGGGTTGTGGTGGGATGAATTGCAAGATTGGGATTGACATATATACACTAATATGTATAAAACAGATAACTAATAAGAGCCTGCTGTATAAAAAAAAAAATGGTGTATCAACTAGATTACCTCTCAGGAAATTATGCTGCTGTTATTCAACTCAAAAGATTTACAACTTTGACTATAATACTGCTATTAATGACAACAGTAATAGCTAATATTTGTGAGTCTGGCTCCAGAGTATATGCCTTCAAGCGTTATGCTACCATGTGGTATTCATTATATTTCTTTAGTTTTGTAAAAAGTAGTAAACAATCTACCTTTCAGTTGATTAAAATTAAAAAGCTATCAAAATATGTCTTATTTATATATAATAACATGTTTCTCATTGTAATATACCAACCAGCCTCTTATTTAACCAGTCCATATGATCATAGGTGAGACTCCCACCAAAATCTTCTGTTAACTGGCATGGTTCTATATAACGAGTCAATTTATTGGCAGACACTAAAATAACCTAGAAAGGTAAAAAGAAAGAAAAAAAAAAAAACTTAGTCACTATTAATGTCCATGAAAAGTGATGAGGAGGTAAAATTGATTAGCATATGCAATACTATTTCCAACATGATGAAATATTACATAGATATTTATTTAAATAATACAACAGCATTTAAAATCAATTCAATAAGTTGTGGCTATCTGTTAAGAAATAAGGTATCACAAACCATTTATAATAACACATTATAAAAAACAAGAGACGTTAGTAGCTCAGATGAAATGTTTTCAAATCTTATCAATATGAATAATTTCTTGGTAGTAAAAATCAATTCCTTCAGTACAAAGATGTATTCGTCAAAGAATTTTCACATGGTCTTAAAATTAGCTAGGTACACTACAATAATAAGTACAAATGAATAATAAATCTGGAAATCAAAAAATTATATACTTTTCTAACATGAAATTTCTCTATCATTCCTTTGATTATATATTAACAAAACATATTCTCTAATAGTAGAGTAAAACTCAGGATAACATATACTAATATTTAATTTGAAAAACAGAACTAGAAAGTAGGGAGAAGTTCAGAGAATTCATAAACTTGAAACTTACCCGTTAAAATGATACTCTTTAAACTTTAAAAGATTTCAAATACAAATTACAAAATGAACAAAGATACCATTTTAGCACTAAATAAAACTTCAATGAAGATATACATGAGTATTAAAAAAATACATATGTGGGAGAAAGATATTCAAATGGTAGTGTTAATGCAAAAGACTTGATAAGAAGAATAACGTGTCCAACTGGAAAGAGCACCATTCCCACCCTAAACAACAACAAAGCCCAGATAATCTACAAAATTAAAACTTTTCTGAAACTCCTCAGAGAGCTGAGGTCACAGAAAAACCAACTAGTCTGAATATGCAGAGAAGACGGGCACCATAGAGAGAGCGGTAGAAGGGGTGACTATCAAATGTGAGGAGCAAATCTTTGGGGATGATGCAACTATTCTGTATCTTAACTGTGATGAAGGATGTATGACTATATCTGTTTGTCAAATCTCAAAATTGTAGGCTAAAAAAGGAATTTTACTGTATGTAAATTATACCTTGATAAACTTAACTTTAAAAAAAAGGGGGGGAATAAACTCAACAACATAAGGAGGACTTGTGAAAGAACTACCAGGAAAAGAAAGAAGGAAAAGAAAAATTCAGAAACATACCCAATATGCAAAACTAGGTATATCCATACTATGTATGAAGTTGTAATGTAAACAGTAAATAAGGGGAAATAACCAAGACTACAAAATGCTTTGCTAAAAGGGTGGAAGGGGAGTCACCTTAGGAAGATAACAAAAACATGGTATCAAAAGTTCATAAAAGGGGACTTCCCTGGTGGCACAGTGGTTAAGCATCCACTGCCAACGCAGAGGACATGGGTTCAACCCCTGGTCCAGGAAGATCCCACGTGTCGCGGAGCAACTAAGCCTGTGCACAACTACTGAGCCTGCGCTTTAGAGCCCATGTGCCACAACTACTGAGCCAGTGCGCCTAGAGCCCATGCTCTGCAACAAGAGAAGCCCATGCACTGCAATGAAGAGTAGCCCCCACTCAATGCAACTAGAGAAAGCCCACACGCAGCAACAAAGACCCAATGCAACCAAAAATAAATAAATAAAAATAAAATAAAAAATTTTTTAAAGTTCATAAAACTATCAGAGAAAAATAAATCCTGTCATAATTAGAGTTTATAACAAATTGCTATGGATAACAACACATTAAATGCCTTGGATGCTTATGTTAGAAAAGAAAGGCTAATGAATAATGAGCTAAGTGACCTACCTAAGAAGTTGGGGGGGCAGGGAGTGGGAGGAGAACAACAGAATACATCCAAAGAAAAGAGAAGGAAGGGGAGAAGTTAAGAAATTAATAAAGCCAAAAGTTGTTCCTTGAAAAGACTAAAGTGAAATCAACAAAGTTCTGATAACGTAAAGCAAGAAGAAAAGGAAAGTACACATAAATAACACTAAGAATAAAAAGAACATGGCTACATAGACAGCAGTGATTTAAAAGATACAGATGGACACAGGACATGCTTTTGTCAGTAACTATGCAAATTTAGAAGAAATGGACAAATTCCTATAAAAAAAGTAATTTATCAAAACTGACATAAAAAAACCCCAGAACACCTATAATCAATGAGGTGAAGTGAATCACTAGATTCTTTTCATTTCCAGTGATCATACTGTTAGTGGTAGTTTTAGCATTGCTATTCAGAGATCACTTGATGAAAAAGACAGCAAATGATTAATATGGGTTATTCTTATTCTCCTATCCCTCATATCCTTGAGAAAACAGAATTCTTGAGAAGGAAGACGTGAAAGGGAAAAAGTTACCCTATGGTCTTCAATTTGAATTAGAAGTATCAGATTAAACTCATGAGGTATTTCACATGCACACTCACATAATATAAAATTTCTAGTTCTGTCCACTGAAACATTTAGAAATAATGACGAAGGCATTCTGTAGAAATGCACACTCCTAGCATCCCAGATTGTTGTCTTCAAACACTGTTTCCTCCTAAACGGAATCAAGGTTCCTTGGAAAAATGGCCAATTCTAGGTCTGGGGCTGGAAATACACATGGTGAGCTTGTAACATCTTCCCATTCAAATATCAAGAAAGCCATCCAAAACTTTTAGGGTTGTGCCAAAAGGTCCGGAAAAGGCTTCCACTGGCCAAATAAGTAACAATTTGCATATCAATTCAAATTCTTTAATAAACTAAAGGATCTAGGCATTGAACATCAATGGCTGCCAATACCACAAAAAAAGAAGACTATGAAAAGAAGACTATGAGCCTCATGATCAAGGAAACATCATCACCAATGAACAGCCTTGGAAAAAGAAATTCAGGTCTTAATCTAACCAACAGTTTGAATCCAACTATGAATTCATGGAAATACAGAGATGCAAAAGAGGAGAATGATATGTTAAACTATACCATGTGGATGCTCACTGAAACAAAAAATCCTGTAAAACACATATCCTGGTCTCCCCAAGGAAAAAAAATTGTGAGAAAAGAGAAAGAGAAATTAAGATTAAAAAGCTTAATTTAATAGACTAACTCAAAATTCTACAACCAATAATAAGAGAATTACATATTCTTTTTAAGCAAACAAGAAATATTTTAAAACTTGAGTGTATATTAGGTCATAAAGAAAACCTTCGTACATTTCAAAGGAAATAACTCATAACATTCTATCACCACAATGAAATTAAGTTAGAAATCAATAACCAATCAAATCAGAAATCATTAACAAGATTTTAACACCTATCCATTTGGAAAGGCATCTCAAACCAATCACAGTATCTGGACAGTATCTGGATCCTAATTTGAAGAAATAAATCAATCTGTGTGCATTCACAATTTATGTATAAATTTATGAATAAATTTTAAAATATATTATTTATACAGAATATTTTTATATATTACTAAATCCTTTTATAACATTCATCAAATTTGAAACCAACTGGCTCTTTGATATTAAGGAACTGTTTATTTTAAGGCATGATAATGGTCTTGGGCTATATATTTTAAAAAAGAGTCTGCAGATACTCAAATGTCTTAAATTTCCTTTACTATAACATCCCCAGCCTTCCTTGGGCGAAGGGAATAGGGGTAAGGATGGGGCAGGTAGCCCATGGGTTGACAGTTGTTGGAACTGGGTATAGGGATACATGGAGTTAACTATAATATTCTGTTTACTTTTTGATGTGTTCATAACTCCTTATAATAAAAATACTAAAAAACTAAAACACATATAAATCTCTCTTTTAAAAAAACCTTCCCAGAAAGAAAATACCAGGCCCAGCCAATTTACAAGTGAGTTTTAAAAATTAAAGGATCAACCAAGATGGCCAAAAAGGAGTACGTGGAACTCACTTTCCCCTCAATGAACACATCAAAAGTATATCTACATGTGAAACAATTCTCACTGAAGATGAACTGGAAACTGGCAGAAAGACTCCCATACAAGAAAGGCTATAAGATCCACAAGGAATCAAGTAGGAAGGGAAAAGACATGATAAGGTTGGGACCTGTGCCCCTGAAAGGGGACACAGAAGAAAAGAAAGATTACATAGGTGGAGACCTGCCCTGGGGAGTGAGCAGTTCAAGCCACAGACTGGGCATCTCACTCTTGGGGTCCAACACAGGGGGGACAGGCCCGTGGTTGGCTGGAGGACTGCTGGGACTAACTGGAGGAGTATGGGAAGCCTGGACTCCATTTGAGAGAAGCGTGCATGCTGGTTTGCCCATGAGGCAATGAGGAGAGAACAGAGTGAGGACCATCCAGTGGCTGCAGGGTTTCCTGTGACTGCCTCAGTGCATATCCCAGCTGAAGCCAAGCAAAGGCTCCAGGCTTGCTTACTCCATGTTGCAAGTGGTACTGGATCTAGGGGGTCACATGAAAAGGAGAAAGCTCAGCTGTGGATTCAGAGGCAACTCGGTTGCAGAGCAGCAAAAGCCACTCTTGGCACATACTCAGGCAGTGCATCAGAAGCAGCCCAGAACTCTGAAAGCCACTCCCCTACAGCTCACCTCCCAATACACACTGAGACCACAAGGCCCCACCTGCCCTGTGGTGTGGCTTCACGACAGGGCAATGGTGGCAGAGGCTGTGGGTGTGATTGGCTGGGGTCTGAATGAAGGGGGAGAAACAACTGCTGGCACCTGCAAGGCGGTGCAGCTTAGAATCTGTCTGCAAGCAAAACAAGCCAAGAGTGCACACAGGTCCCATTTGCTTCAGCACTCCCCCATTCTGGGTCAAGGGTCATGGTGCTGGGAAAGTAGAAAGCACACACTTAAGGGGAACAAAGTCAGAGCAGGCCTGACCTTCAGGGCTTCTGCTTCACCAACTTGGGATCAGACCCCACACCTGAAAGGCCAGTGATGGCCACTGAGCAGAGGAGAAATCTCGTCTCATACCCGGCTACAGCTCTGGCACCTCCATCTCC